CCACTGTAGCCCTTTTCATTAATATTTTTGCATCTAACTGAGTGAATTAAGGGTTTATTTCAACCAAACCAGCGTTGGTGATTGTTAAAAAGTTTTTGGTCTGAGATGATGATGCCCTAGTGTGACATCCAGTGGCAAGTTGATTGTTTTATAGTATATATCCTTTGAAGATGCAAAAACAATTTAATGTGGGCACTGCGTAACAACCTGAAAACTAGGCCTTTTTGGCTTTTCTAGGCACTTTCAAGTATAAACAAGTGACCATTAACACAAAATGTCTTCCAATTAATTTTAGCGCATTCCATTCTGCTCCTGCCAAGGATACACCTTAGACTACAGTGTAGTTGACATGCATTTCTCAGAAAACTATATGTCTTAGCTACTGTGACTACGTAGGTTCCATATGAGGGCATGAAGAATGTGATAGGTCAGTTTGGCCTGCTTGTGTTTTCCCCTACAAGTTTGTGATGCCAGCGGTTGTGATTGTTGAGATTGAAGACGACATTAGGCGAGTTGATAAAAGTCCCAGTTATCTTCTCTTTTTCAGAAACACATGTAGAAAAGTCATCTCCACTGCAAACCTTTGTTCAATTTGATCACTGCTTTTTATCGCAGTGAACGAAATAAAAGGAAATATGACGGCACAGGATAATGTCATATTCAGTAATGAAACGAGGCAGATGTCAGAATGTAAATGAAATAATGTCAACTCACTGACTGTGGGCAATGTAAATAAAGCACATTAGGGCCTCATCATGTATGGTACAGTACATCTCAAGTGTTGTGGTGGTGAAATCAGCAAGTGAAATCCAAAGTTTAACTCTAAATTAAAACTGATGGGAGATTAATAGGACAGTAAATATAGCTTAAACTGTTTTGTAGAATTGACATTGCATGTAGGAATGTGTGAAATTGGCTTTTAAATGATGTTTAAGACTACTATTTGGTGCTAAGTCAAAGCTAATAAGACAAGCTATGAATTGTCAACCTTAATTAGATGAGGGGATGAATGGGGGCTGCACCAAAAGGAAAATATGTACACTGTACCTTTAACTGTGAAATAATTACATCTAAATTTCAAAGGCAGCTGCACTGGCCCACATTTTGTGATAGCACTTACATCGATACTACTAAACAAATTCATGAGCAGTGTAATGAGCATCAGGGTGAGATCAAACTGCTTGCCTGGCACCATTTGGAGGATCAGAATATCACTGAATTTTTATGCCAGTAGATTTCCCCAAAGAAGGAAGGAGCCTTTTCTTTCCAGAGGAAACTCAGTTAGTGCTGGACATATGGCAATGCATTAATTACAATTATTTAGATGATGTTGAGAGTCTTGGTTGGGATTGTAACCCTTAAGCCACAGTGGAGCCCCAAAAAATAACAGCAAATCGGGGGCGCACGGTAGCTCACGTGGTAGAGCGTGCATCCCATGTAGGGAGTGAGTGAGTCCTTACCACAGTGGCCTGGGTATGATTCCAACCTGCTGCCCTTTCCTGGCTGTCTTCACCTGACCTATCAAATAAAAAGCATTAAAGACAAAAAAAAATAAAATAAAAATAAAATATATAAAATAACAGCAAATCTGAATCATATCCATGTCAATGTCCAAAAATCAAAACAGGCCTGCATTTAAGTCAAGCAGTTCATTTAGATTAAATTGTTGTGGTCTGACTGCTGTTTATTTTGCACAACATCAGATTACACAATGACTGAGCTGGCTAATGTTTAGGGTGACCAGAGTCTTGAATCACAAGCTTGCCCTGTTTGTCCTGAAAATGAACCATTATAATTAATATATAATACTGAATGAATGAGCTAAAATTATTTTACTTGAGACCTGAAGGCAAAAATGCTGAGGCGAGCTGACTTGGTGACACAGTTATATTGAAAAATGCTGCACTGAATGTATTGAGCACTTTGGAGCGCTGCCGACTTGAATGACATGAATAATTAAGAACATACTGTAATGCAGAGCAACAAGCCGCTCTAAATGACTCTAAATTTAATGAGAGACCCTTTCATTATATAATCAATTAGTCTACATGAATTATAGATACAGATCAATAGTTCTTTTTACTCTCTGAATCTGTGAAAATATTCAGATCAAATCACTGGGCTTTTCATTTTTGTAAAATATCCTAGTACATAGTAGAATAGCATTCCCCAAGGGGAAATTTGTCGTATTATTCTTATTTGTCTATTGGTATGTTTTCACTTGTCAATTGCACTCTATGTCATAAAGGCTAGGTTGGTGTCATTCAAGTTTTAAACCGGATGATGGAGCGTTCAAAGACATGCAAAGGTCCAGTGTGTAGTATTTAGTGCAGTGGTTCTCAACCTTTTTTGGTCCGGTGCCCCCTATCTATTATTCAGGTCCCTAATCGCCCCATATCAAAACAAAATGGAGGCTAATTGTCTTTGCTTAATATTAACGTTGATTATTATTCTGTTTATTATGATGATGAAAAAAATCACATGAACATAAATTATATTTGAGTGTTATGAAAATGCATAGGTGAAAAATTTGTCATTGATATCATTATCAGAAACAGTTTGTAATTTGACAGCCAGAGGTCAAGCCGGCTGATGGTGTTGCTATGACTCAGGTCTGGTGGCAGGTGTCTGTTTTAGAAAACTTAGAAAATTGTTTATGTTAATTATGACCGTATAGTTTGTGTAATTACGTTTTGGCAACACTGTAATGTGTGCAGTAATGCCAATAAAGCCACTTAAATTGAATAGTGTTATAATGTGTGTCTGGATATAGATGGTAAGTTGCTTTCACAGGAAAGAGAGGGTCCATTTTAATGAGTTGACACCTTAAACGCCATGTTGGTGAAAATGTATAATTGATATTCTGGTGTTCCGTTCCCATGAAAGCACCGTGGAAACAATACAATGTCTTGTTTATGGGCAGTGGTGTAAACTGGCAGGTTTATCAGGTCTTGTTGTGAATCTTCGGTGTAAACTCATCTTAAACAAAATGCCCCCCAAGAGCTCCTCAACTTTCCAAAATATTGCTTCAAGAGCCCCCGACATTCTCTGAACACCCTCTGGGCCCCTGTTAAGAAACACTAATTTGTTGTACCTTGCGGTGTAGTTGCAGGTTGCAACTCACTCTTTTCATCCTCACCTTCCAAGCAAGCATGAGGAAGAAACTACAATGACTGCTACAGATGGTGACCCGCTTCCTCTGTAGATAAAAACAGCTCATTCTAAGTTAACAAAAACAGAACGATTCAAATTTTTAGGTGATTATACAGTAATTAAAACATAGCTATGAATATTACACCGATCAGCCATAACATTGTGTGCACCTGGGCCCCCTGGTGGTCAGAATGTTCTGCAGCCCCATACCAACAAACTGCTCTGCACTGTGTGTTCTGACACCTTTCTATCAGAACCAGCATTAACTGTTTCTGCAGTTTGAGCTCCAGTAGCTCGTCTGTTGGATCGGACCACACGGGCCAGCCTTCACTCCCCACGTGCATCAATGAGCCTTGGTTGCCCATGACCCTGTCTCTGGTTCACCACTTTTCCTTCCTTGGAGAACTTTTGATAGGTACTGACCTCTGCAGACCAGGAACACCCCACGAGAGCTGCAGGTTTAGAGATGCTCTGACCCAGTCGTCTAGCCATCACAATGTGGCCCTTGTCAAAGTCACTCAAATCCTCACGCTGCCCATTTTTTTTCACTTGCTGCCTGATATATCCAATCCACAATGTTATGGCTGATTGGTGTATATTCCATTTCCTGCAATAGATCCTCTTAAATTTTACACACTGGACCTTTAACTCCTCAAGGGCTATATGCAAAGTGGATTAAAATATTTTATTTTTCCCCAAAATGACTTGTGTTTTACAGTTTTCCTTTTCTCACCATCTAATTTTGCACAATTCATGCTCTGACAAGATTTAAGGAATCAACAAAGTGGCACGACTGCATTACTCACTTGATGTTTGTTCAATTGTCAGTTATGATAAGAGCAAATTATTGCATTGTGAGGGACATCAATTTGCCAGCTACGAGCCCTAAACAGCAATAAATCCAAATGCAAATGTAGAATTTTGTTGAAGTGCAGATATTGCATTAATGTGCTGAGAATAAGAGATTGCGACAAGTGATTGCCGTAATTTCTTACAGCAGCTAAACATACAACAAGTAAATAAATCACCTAGATGTGATTCAGTGACTTCCTTTAGGCTGAGAGTATTGCCTTGATGCATAACAAAGTGTCTGTGACCTGTATAGAGTATGTTGGTTGGTTTGATGAAATGGGGGTAAATTTAGGGATTTCAGGGTACCGGTTTAGATGGATGGATGGATGGATGGATGGATGGATGGATGGATGGATAGATAGATAGATAGATAGATAGATAGATAGATAGATAGATAGATAGATAGATAGATAGATAGATAGATAGATAGATAGATAGATAGATAGATAGATAGATAGATAGATAGATAGATAGTTTTTGACCTCTAGTCGCAGTAAAGAGCTATATTTTATGGTTTCAAGCTAATCATCTGAGTGGTGGTAACACACCAAGATATGATGCAATGTGTCAAAAAAGGAAGGAATGAAGGAGACTTCTAGCAGGTAAAACAATGCAAACAATAAAAACGGCACCAGGGATGGAGCACCATTCTTCCAAAATTCTGAAAATGACCTCTTTTGGTGTTTTGATGATGTAGGTGGATCAGTCTTCTCCTTCAATTTGACAGCCCACTGTACTGTACTGCACTGTTATGTACTGTACTGCACTGTTATGTACTGCACTGCACTGTTATGTTCTGTACTGTGCTGTACTGTACTGCACTGTGCTGTACTGTACTGCGCTGTTATGTACTGCACTGTGCTGTTATGTACTGCACTGCGCTGTTATGTACTGCACTGTGCTGTACTGTACTGCACTGTGCTGTAATGTACTGCACTGTGCTGTACTGTATGTTCCAATAAAATCTTTTCCTAAAACTTTGTGTCTGCCTGCAGCTCTAAAGACAGTGCTGGAGGTGCCGGTGGGGAGCCGCTTTCTCAGACTCAATGCCAAAGGACCTGCTACTATAGGTGAGTGGCTACAGTTCAGACCATATTGTGTGAATAGAGAATCTTATCCTGCTGTATGTTTAAAGCCCTGTGTTTACTTACCTTTAACATCACAAACAAAAAGTCATTCTGCAGTTTATTTTCCATCAGCTCAATGTCTGATTCAGTGCATGTTTGTAGTGTGGAAGCTGTCAATGGAACTGAAAAAGCAGACCTAGATCATTTGAAGAAGAGGGCCTCCTTTCACTTCCAGGTGGCTGTAGCTCAGTTGGTAGAGTGGCGCACACATAATTTGGGTTGGTTGTGGCTTTCTTCACAATTAGACTTTATCCAAAATGAGCTGAACAGACCCTAAGAGAGCGAGAAACCATTTCAAGCAGCAGTACGATGCTCTACACTGCAAAAACAGCTCTACTCGGAACAAGCAAAATATTCCTAAATATAATCAAATTCTCTTGTATTGAGCACTCAAAATCTGCCAATGGGGTAATCTAATTATGCTTGGCTAGAATTCTTAAAACTAGCACACCTAGCCACTGAAAGACAAAAAGTGATGCTTATTACAAGCAATGAAAACTCACTTATTAAAAGAAGTATTTTGGTCAGTTAATTTTATTTATAATTATAATCATAATGATAATAATAATAATAATAAAATCAAATCAAACAGCATAATAAAAATAAGCAACTTAAATGAAGGCACCAGAAGCATTCTTATATGCATTCTTAACAATGAAAAACTGAACAACTGCTTCATTCATGACACTGGAACAAGACTACTTTCTCTTAAATTGAGAGGTTTTAGAAGAAGGGGTATATTTAACAATCATGTCATGCTAGCATGTCAGAACGGGAGCAAAATAAAATTGAGCCTTAATTAGGCTACATTTTGGTAATGGAAAACTGGCTATTTTCAAAGGGGTCCCTTGACCTCTGACCTCAAGATATCTGAATCAAAATGAGTTTTCGTTGTACGCACAAGTCCCCCTTAGCAGACATGCCCACTTTATACTAATCCCATGCAGTTTTTTGCATGTAGTATAAATGTGTTATTAGGGCTGCTCGATTATGGGAAAAATCATAATCACGATTATTTGGGTCAAAATTGAAATCACAATTATTCCAACGATTATTTTTTTAAACTTCAGAAACATGCTGCATTTATTGGACATTTGTCAAAAACACTTTGCAAGGAAGTCCTCAGTTACACTTTCCTTTCCCCATAAACATTTGTAAGTCTCCTTTTTACATTGACAGTCATAGTGCACTCTTGCAATCTCTACAAAAAGTTAAATCAAATAAAATAACACACAAAAGATAAGCCATAGAAAAACAATTTGTGTTCTCAAATTTTACTGCACTGCCAAAAGATTTGAAATTACACAGCTCAACGTCCTGATATCAAACATCTGGAAACATTAAAACGGTAAATATATTTGTTTGTGTCGCAGCGAAGTGTCAGTTCTGTTTCATACGTAAAACATTTGCTGGCGTGACGGTGGGGGGGCGTGACTGCAAAAAAAATCCTCGAGGAAACACTGATTACCTGTTACTGTTACGCATTACCTGTTCAACGAAAACAACGTGACTGACTCATGTGCAGTGCATGCTGTGGGGGAGGGACAGTAATACGCATGCACGAAATACGCAGCCAGAATTGGGACACAGCTTTTTTCTATACAACGTTGCACAACAGAAAATGAAAAGAAAATCGTTTCCCCCCGATTTTATTAGTTTTGAGATCGTTTGGCCCCAAAATCATAATCATGATCAAATTTCGATTAATTGAGCAGCCTTATGTGTTATTTTTGTCTAGTGTATTTAAACATAAACAGTGTTCAAATTCATGCCACCCTGCATAAGCCAGTGCCCCACTTGTACCACCCCAGTCCAAAAAGTCTGGACACGCCCCTGGTGATTACATGACAAATTCCTTTATAATATGTATTGGACTATTGAGCAACGAAGAATATAAAATAAATAAAAACATCCTACACAGTCTGAACCCTGCAATCTCAGAGCATTTTTTAGTTTGTTTGTGTCATTTGGGTTTTCCTGACCTATTTCATTGTCAGTTGAAAAGAGTGCAAGAGCCCCCAATGGATGCAGATAAACAGCACATGTCCACAAGCCTTACCCTGCCAATACACTCAAGTTCCGACAGTGTAATACCCCGAAGAGCTGCAGGATTTACGGGATGTGTGCTTTGTCAGATGTTTCCGAATCAAGGAGTGACCTAAGAATTACTTTAGCAGATTGTTCATCAGCCACCAGGAGATCAGTGTGGTGGATGGGGAACACCAGAGAGAGAAGCTGAAGGGAGAGGGACCACAGTAAAAGAGGGAAAATCAAATGCACATTTACAGCTGAGCTAACCCAGCTTCCAAGTTCATGAACTTGGCTAAAACTAAATATTATCAGAGGTCTAATCATATTTTCACCATTGGCAATACAGAGCCCCCTTTAACAGACTGCTTTGATTTTGAATAACTCCTTTTCCTGATATGGCAACCTATAGGATTGTTAATTGTTTCAAGTTGTGAAAGCTGTGGGGAAAAGGTTAAAATTAATGTAAAAAATAAGTGGATTTGTTCAAATGCTGTTGATTTTTTTTTCTTCTTCTGGAAAGTCAGTGCTTTGGCAAAAAGATTTTAGATGTCAAATTAGTGACAAAATAAAGTCCAAATAGAGAAAATTCTGAAGTAGAAATGAAACATGAGCATTTCCTCATGCTTTGTCTCAAATGATTAATGCATGAGGCCCAGTGACATTTTTATGCACTTTGTTCAAGATTTCCCCATGACTGCCTGAAATGAGGTTACATAAAGTCCCCATGAAGTCATAATTGATGTTGAAGTGTTGTTATCACATATGTCTAGTGCTATATGTCAGTTATCTGGTCCAACAATGACAAAAAAGTAATTTTTCAGGTATTTTGGGGTATTCTGAATAGTAGTAAAGAGTTTGTCTTTTCCTAAACAACGCTAAAAAGTTGTTACCCTGCACTCAGGGGCTTTCTTGCTTACGTTTGTGAGGACAGATGTTACAACTATGGCGGGGCCTCACTGAGTACTTTAAAAAAAGCACAATTTTATGACTTCATTTGCTGCTTTTGGTGAAACTGAATCGTATTTTGAACAGAGTTTCCAGATGGACTGGAAGCTTTAATTAACTATTTGCTATAGTAGTGAACTGCTAAATAACTGCTGCTAACTCTATCTACCGTTATCAGGCAACAGAACCGGGATCAAACACAACCTCCCTGACTGACAGGAAATAACGTTACAATACTGAGGTCATTTACAGAGCATACTCTGCTTTATGGTCTATTTTACTCTAAATGGGACCATCATTTACTAAATGAACATCATGCTGTATGGAAGAAGACTGAAACTAGAGATTGAGAACATAAACTCATTAGGAAACTGTTTACTGAGCTCATAATCAAAGTCAGAAGTAGGCTCATTTCTCCATAAGACTGCATGCTATTAGTCTTTTATTGCAGCCAATCAAGCTCCCCCTGCTGGCCATTAGAAAGAATGCAGGTTTAAGACACTTCTGCATTGGCTTCACTTCACAAAACCAGAAGCTCTGTCCATTATTTATAATGTCAATGGTTCATTTCTGGGTCCGTCCAGCTGTGTTCACTGGAAGGTAGACTCTGATGCTAGCTCATAGTGCTAGCTGCATAGCAGTGGGGATGTTAGACACACTCAAATGTGTAAATGGCAAACAGTATCCACAACAAGTCCCTCACTGTTTCCTGTTGTACAGGAAACATTTAAATGTGCAGAAGAAGAAGAAGAAGAAAGAAGAAGTAAATAGCACACGGGCGGCTGTAGTGCAGAGGCATCCTCTAATCGGAAGGTTGTTGGTTCGATCCCCGGCTCCTGGTGCCACATGTCGAAGTATCCTTGAGCAAGATACTGAACCCTGAATTGCTCCTGATGCCGTGCATCAGTGTGTGAATGTGTGTGAAAGGGTGAATGTGCCATGTAGTGTAAAACGCTTTGAGTGGTCAGAAGACTAGAAAGGTGCTATACTTGCTAAGTACAGGTCCATTTGCCATTTACCATTTAACACTCTGTTTTCTGTGTTAGCAACCTACCGCCTACCTAGACTTTATATCGATGTGAAATTAGCAGCTACCAGCTATAAAATCCCACTTTTTCTTGTATTCTATATTACTTTTTCCATCCTGCTCTTTGTTTTTTTTTCCTGTCGAGTCCTTGTCTTGATTTATTGATTTTTGACTTGAGTTGTGCTCTGGCAGAATTATATTATCTGGTTTGCCCTGCTGTCTGATGGTATCTCTCCCCAAGAAACACTGTTTTCATCATTTACTTTTGTAGAAGATTAAATCACACTGATCACCACATACCAATTTAGAAGTTATTCTTTATTTCTTTATAAGTTGAGAATTATTTTTTTCTTTTTCTTTCTTTCCTTTTTTGGAAGCATAAAAGATATTCCACACACAGCCTCCCCAGGTTTGCTTATCTTTGTTTATGCATTTTTTGTATCTTGAAATAGGTAATATATGAATATTAAAGGTCCAGTGTGTAACATTTAGGAGGATCTATTGGCAGAAATGAAATCTAATATTCATAGGTATGTTTTCATTAGTCTATGATGAAATTTGAAAGTTAAAAAAGTGAAAATTATCACCTGAATACAATACATGTTTTTGTTTCCCTAGAATTAGCTGTTTTTATCTACAGTTGTTGCAAGTCGCCTTCTATGAAGTCCGCCATGTTGAACTGCCATGTTCTACAGTGGCCCAGAAGGGACAAATCAGACACTGTTGTTTTTCATGCATTTTGAAGTCACTATAGTTCCTTCTACATGCTTGGAAGTGAGGGAGTTGCAATCTGCAATTACACAACTAGATGCCACCAAATCCTTCATATCCTAGACTTTTAAGTAAAAGAAAATTTGAAGTTATTGTACGTTAACAAATGTCTGTCTTTCTGTGTCTCTCCTACAGTCATCGAAACCGTCTCTCTTCAGGGGAAGAAGGAGGAGATCAGTCTGGGGTCCACAGGGTCCTACGTGATAGGAAACACCTCCTTTGAATTCCAAAGAGGGACGGACAGGCAGACGCTCAGGACGCGTGGCCCACTCAACGCTGATTACATTATCAAGGTGAAACAAAGGAAAGAGGACAGGCCTAGGTTTATAGCAAAACAGCCTCAGGACTTTTGGCTTCTCATGTACATATTCCATTATAGATAAGAGCTACAACATAAATAAATCAGTCTGTTGCATAATATTTAGCAATGCAGGGGATTTTTAATGAGATTGTGAGGTTGTTGCCAGGGGCACTACTAGCATTATTGTTGGAGAGGCCTGATAAATCTAAATAGAAATAAATCTTCCTATTTGTAGTGACTGTATTGTTTCACAAGCTCTTTTATGTTGCAGTTATAATGAAGATAAGCACTTTAGAGTCTCCACACTGGCAGACATCTTGCACTGGCTTTACCGTGGTGAACACATTCACTGTTCTACAATTAGATCATATACAATGATAAGTCTATGATGTTCTGCATTTTTTCTTCTTGTCAATAAATGCCATGTGCTGGCTCAGACTAACAATGAATTGAATCTATAAGCAAGTATTATGTGTGTATCAAAACCTGAGAGATATTATCTCTTTCATTTATAAATAATGACAACCTTAGTCAGGAGCTTTTCGCACGTCCACTCAGGTGGTCTGCATGCAGTTGAGTGAACTGTATATTATACTGCAATTAATGAAATTATATATGATGTAAAAGACCTAGAAAATAATATTTTTTTATTTTTAGATATTTTGGGGGCTTTTTGTGCCTTAATTCAATAGGACAATTAAAGAAAGACAGGAAAGGTGTGGGGGGGGGGCGATGACGACATGCACCAAAGGGTTGCAGGTCAGAATTGAACCTGGGTCGCAGTGGCAAGGACTCCCTTGCACCCCAAAAAATATTTATTTTCAATGCTGTAATGTGATCACATATTTTGTTGGTCAATGCAATGCGAAAACATTGAATATATTGATAAAAGATTTATTTATTTATTTTCAGGCTATATTTCTATAAACTCACACAATGGAACTAATTTGCCCACTAACTTGAATCAATAGATAGACAGCCTAAAAGTTTCTGCAGGTGAAGCATTTCAATAACAACAAAGTTCTAGTAATGTTACTGATTGTAGTTGACATATAGCAAGCAATACAATATTCTCATTTACAGTGAGGCCAAGAGGCAGCGACAGGAGACAGGTTGATACATAAGTTAAAACCTAGATACAGCTAATGCAAAAAACAATATTAGACAGATTTAAACAGCACAATATATACGGTATGTACACAACAGAGATCTAAGTACTGTATTCCAGAGAGGCAAATTCAAAAACAAGTGTAGTGATCGGAAACTATCACATGCAATGAGTTTATAAAGGTGGATAATTAATGCAGTGTACAGTTTTTGTGACTTTTGCAACTGGTTCCAGTCCCTGGGAGTGACAGACTGAAAAGAGTGGGCGCCGAAAGAGGGACAAACTTTAGGAGTGTCCAAAGTAATGAATTTGGTAGAGCTGAAACTGTGGTGACTGTTGGAAATGTTGAGTAAAGAACGGAGATATGGAGGGGTTTTGCCAATGATAGTTTTATAAATGACGCCTGTGACGTCTGGTGTGTAGTGACGGCCAGTTGGCTAAAGGGTACAGGTTACACTGTGTTACAATAGGAGCACATGTAACAAAGCGATGGTGGTATGGTAAAGAACGTCCAGTTTGGATCTTTAGAGGCAAACCTGTAGATTAAGTCACCATAATCTAGGATTGGGAGGATTGTCATTCTGGTATGCTTAGCAGAGAGGGTAAACGATGCTTTACTTTTTTTTTAAAGACATTTGGACATTTAGACAGCTGGAGATAGACAGGAAAGGGGGGCAGAGAGAGAGGGGATGACATGCAACAAAGGCAGTGTGTTGATGTGTGTTTGAAAGGAGAGTGATCTGTTGAACCAGGTATTTGTAAGAGGTGACAGATTTTAGTGCTGACCCATGCAAAGACCCATGCAAGGTGACAAGATATTCCTGAGCTGCTCAGCAATTCTGCTCTTCCGTCAGCCATCTTGGTTTTGAAAAGTTTTTGTTGCACTTACAACAGCTGGCCAGTGGGTGGCAGTGTATGGGATGACGCACTAGTGTCCACTGTGGTAGCTGATATGCAATTATACAATCAAAGCCCATGCATATACAAGAAAACGTTTTTGAATAACTGTCCACTGTAGTGCGTGCAATGCGTGAATCCTCTGTGTCATAGAGCTCCACTGTTGTCCTAAAACTATTAAAAACACATCAGTAAGCCACACTGCTGCACTGGCTGCTATGTTCCTTCATTTCAATGAACACACATGTAGTTTATTAAAATTATTCCCAGAAATAACCGTCAAATAAATATTTGCCAGAGCACCAAATATGTTGCTGAAAATAGTCCCCAACAAATGCACTATTTACTCAGTAATGTTTGCTGAAGACTACAGTTTTGGGAAGTGGCTGAGCCTTTTATGAAGTAATATCCACATTTTGTGAAATATGCTTTATTGCTTTCTACTGAACTCTTTCTTGGTGAAAAAAGGTCGGGTGTAGTGACTGTGTGGAGTGTTCTGGAGACACGAGAACACAAGTTCTTTATATGTCATATGCACAATAGTTACAGTGAAACAGTTACTGGCAGTGAAATTTTTGTTCTCAGCCTCCATCCAACATTCATAGAAAATGTATAAAACAAATATCAAGCCATAAAATAGTTCAGAAATTAAAATATAATAAAAACTAATCAAGCATGTAAATAGAATAAAATATAAAATACAGTATACTGTGGTAGACTGGTAAATTGTAGTAATAAAATGCGTGTGTGTGTTATGTAGTAAATGAATGTGCTTATTTAGAACCGGTTGTGAACAGGATGCATAAGGTAATGCACATTTCTGTAAGTCCAGATTAAATGTGTTCGTGAGCACAGATGTGAGATTGTTATTCTGCCCTGCAAAGGCAACAGACAATAACTTGTAGTGTAGAACTGAGAAACTACATGCGTTACTGAACTAAATGGAATTAAAAAAGTAGTTTAACTACATTTTGCGGTAGCTTGCTGGTTGTACAAATATATTCATATTTTTATACTGATTCAAATAGTTAAACTACGTATTTGCCATTTTTTGTGTAGTTAACTACTGAAACTATAAACAAGTTCGGGCCATAAAAGGAAAGGACTTAATTTTAAATGTTTACTGTACAATTGCATCTCTACTGTAATTGACCCTGCTTTGACTAGCTACGTATCCTTTTTCTTTTATCCTGACGGCTGTGAGCATGCCCAGGCAATGCATTGCACCACACACTGGACCTTTGCGTACCTTGACCTTTGTGGAGTGCATGTGCAAAAGGCCGGGTGTTGCTCAGGATTTGGATGACAGCCTAATGCACCATCAAAGATTAGCTCTTAAACCAAAAGTGGCCTCTATTTTATATACTGTCAGCAGGTCAGTATGCATGTTTATACTATTTATTTGATCTAATAGATACAGGACTTTGATCCAAATCCCTGATACAGTCTTATCGGATGTGCGGATGAAATGGATTTGTCCAGTTCATGCTGGGACCAGAGCATTGTCTCCCTCCCTATTCACTCCAGTCCTCAACAGCTTCACACGTCTTTTGTGGTGATTTCAAATCTCAACTGGGTACAAGAAAAACATTTCACTTTCCTTCCGGATACAATTCAAACGCAGCTCGTCTGTGCACATAAGCAGCTTTTACTAGTTATATGACGATAACTTAGTTTTGTAAGTTACAGTAACATTCCTGATTAAGTACTTTTTATAAAAATGTTCGATTTAATCAGTTTTTGTCGTTTTACAGTGATATGTCACAGCTGCCGCCATAGTTTGGGACTTGCTGATGTGGGTGCATGTGGTTATACCAAGAGTGCTAGAGGGAAGAATGTTGCAATTTTTTATTTATTTTGGCTCAGTAAAAGGCAAATTCAGAATTCACTTTGACTCTTTTGTTACCCGTGCTTGTTACCCTGTTGATGACAGTCACTGTCATATTAAGTAATTACATTAAATCGGTGATAAATGTGACACATTACACTGTGTTTGAAAGGTTAGTGCATAAAAGACAGATTCAGTAGTGGTCCACGTGGCCAAAGCTGCAAGGTTGTGATGAATGACTTACACGTCAATTACATCATCAAATAAAAGCACACATTTTCCTCACCTCATTTGAGCATCTTTACTTGAAGGTGAAAATGTTGAGGAGAGCTAGCTTGGAGAAATGCTGCTCTGAAAGTACTGTGTATTTTGGAGCGCTGCCAAATTATCCTGAATAATTAATAACGTAACAGAGATACAAGCAACAAGCTGCTGCTGTCACCAGAATAAAGAAAACTCTAAATTCAATTGAAAGACCTTTTTTATTAAATGATCAATTAGTCTACATGAATTATAGATACAGATCAATAGTGTCCATGAATCCATGAAAATATTCTGATCAAATTATATGTAAGCTAATTCCTGCTTTAAGTTTGAAATAAATGTCATTTTCATTTTTGTAAAATGTGTAAGATTAAACACAGCTTGTAAACCATTCTGATATGGTCACCCTACTGCCATATTTCTACAGTAGCCCTAAAGGTACAAACCAAACACTGGCTGTAAATATGGCAGGGGACGGTGATGCAAGGGAATTGCAATCTACCTTTTTGCACAATTAGTGGCCACCATAGTTTCTCATAGCGCTTTCAGGGAGAGGGTAAAATAAATGCCACTAGGCAATAGATGCCTGGATGCCACTAAATTCTACACACTGTACTAGCAAGACACCCTGTTACAGACTAAGGCTAGTTGTCTCCCCCTGCTTCTGCAGCTAAGCTAGGATAACTACATCCTAACTCTAGCTTTATGCTTAACACAGGCATTTTCCATATTACTTTTGGAAAAGAAGGTGAAAATACATATTTCCCAAAATGCTGAACAATTCATTTATAATGAAATTATATAATAGTACACCGCAATTTTGTATTGCAGTTCAGAAAGGCTGGTAGATTTGCAGAAAGACTGACTAAGAAAGAAGTGGTCTAGAAGATGCGGACATATCCTGACCTTTAAACATTACTGTTGGTCAACCTCCAAGAACATCCGCATTCTTCAGACTCCACTTCCTCAGTTGTGACTCAGGTTTTTTTTGTTTTTTGTTATAAATATGTCATGACAAAAACTCCTCTAGAATCACATTATACAACTGTTCTCACAGTTGGAGTAGTTGTCGTAGTTATAGTATAGTAGAAATATTACTCATAAATCAATTTCTACAGATTCAGCCAACCCTCATCTTGTTAACATGTTTAACATAGAAGGACGAGCGACTGGGGACCCCAAAACCTACTCTAAGAAGCATCCATCATAGCAAAATTTGAACTTCTTTCTTCTAAAAACATTATTAGTCATGTAATGAATGATGTCTGAAAAACTAATAATTATTATTTTAAGAAAGTAGCAGAATATTTAAATTGTATTTTGTGTAAAACTAAAATAGACTATCTGTATATGTCTCCTTGAAAATTACAGAGTGCCCCTACATTCAGAACTGGGTGCTTTTGACTAGGGCCCCCTAGGAACCCAATGCATTGGTATTTTTGAAAAGCACAAATAAACACAGAAACAGAAAACATATGAAGCCATTAGGAACACACAATAAGAAAAATTGGAATGATAGAATAAAGCACCTGTGAGGAAGTATACATCTGGGGTCTAGGGGTACCCCAGCCGGTCGGATGAGGGTTGATTCTTCTCCTGGGTTCTCCTTTGTGGAATTGTCTACTTTACTGACCTCAGATTTGTTCTACTTTGCTCTGCCCTACACTACTTAACATAGTGCTGTTCTTCTCTACAATTCATTCATCATACATGTTATACAGATGAAGTATGGAGGCTCCAAAGACACAGTAGTCCAGTTTCTCTTCTACCAGCCAATCAGGTACCAGTGGAGAGAGACTGACTTCTTCCCCTGCTCAGTCACCTGTGGAGGAGGTGAGGTGGCTGTCAGTTGACAGTAACTCCAAACAAGTGTCTCTGTGTTTGAATAATGATTTAGCATTGTATATTTTATTGATCCATCTGTGGATATCTGCAACTTTTTCCAGTAACATACAGTTACACAGCCTGTGTCCGCTCTCCTCCCCCAGGCTATCAGCTGAACTCTGCAGAGTGCACGGACATCCAGTCTAACCAGACGCTGCCTGAGCATCATTGTAACAGCTATCCTGAAAACACCAAACCTACACCGAAACTCAAGGAGTGCAACATGGACCCCTGCCCAGAAAGGTAGGGATCATCACAAGTTGTATTTACAATAGACCCAACTCCTCAAATAATGCCACTTAGTCAGTGGCCCTCGGTTTAACAATATGACACTGTAGGTATCCCTCTAGCATAATTTTTGGAGGCGCAGGGGTGGTAGATTGGTTAGGGTTAGGCACAAAAACTACTTTGTTAGGGTTAGGAAAAAGGTTGTAAATTACGCTATTAACTATTTAAAGACAAGACAAGAGGAGTTAAACATAAAAATCTAATAAAAATTGAAACAAACTCCACAGTAGCACAAAATAAATGAATGAAATGTGGACTATTAAACATCAGGTCTCTGTCTTCTAAAGCTGTTCTAGTGAATTAATTAATATCAGATTATGATATTGATTTACTTTGTCTAACTGAGACCTGGTTGTGTTATATGTTAGCCTAAATGAATCCAGTCATATTAATACTCACATTCCTCAAGGCACCGGCCGAGGAGGTGGAGTAGCAGCCATATATAATTCAAGCCTTTAAATTGATCCTAAACCTCAACTAAATTATAATTCATTTGAAAGCCTTGTTCTTAGTCTTTCTCACCCAAACTGGAAAACACTGCAGCCAGTTCTATTTGTTATAGTGTACTGGCCCGTACTCTGTCTGAATTCTCAGAGTTTTTATCAAGTTTAGTCCTTAAATCAGATAAAGTAATTATTGTAGGTGATTTTAATATTCATGTGGATGTTCACAATGACAGCCTTAGTAATGCATTCATCTCATTAATAGACTCAATTGGCTTCTGTCAGAGTGTAAATAAACCCATCCATTATTTTAATAACACTCTTGACCTCGTTTTATCATATGGCATTGATATTAAACATTTAATAGCCTTTCCACAAAATTCTTTTGTATCTAACCATTACTTAATAACTTCTGAATTCCTATTACTAGATTACAAGCCATTAGACAACACTTTTAACAGCAGATGTCTATCTGACAGTGCTGTAGCTAAATTTAAGGAGGAGATTCCATCAGTGTTTAATTTAAGTCTGAATATAACAGAGGACTCCTATAAAAACTTTAGTCTCTCCCAAATTGATAATCTTGTTAATAGTGCTGCAGGCTCACTGCGAACAACACTAGATTCTATTGCCCATATTAAAGAAAAATATGAAAACCTAGGAAACTAGCACCGTGGTAGAACCGCCAAACCCGCCAATTAAAGCAAAAAGCGGGAAATCTGAAAGGAAATGGCGCTCTTCCAAACTATTAGAATATCGTTCAATTTGGCAAGATAGTCTTAAAATTTATAGAAAGGCCCTCCGTAATGCCAGAGGAGCCTATTATTCAACACTAATAGAATAAAATAAGAACAACCCTAGGTTCCTTTTCAGCACTGTAGCCAGGCTGACAGAGAGTCACAGCTCTATTGAGCCACATATCCCCATAACCCTCAGTAACGACTTTATGAGCTTCTTTTATAATAAAATTATTACTATTATACACAAAATTAATCACCAAATGCCCTCCACAGGTATCACTGTCTCTCTTAGTTCAGTCTGTTAGACCCCATCCCAACGAGGCTCCTTAAACAAGTCTTACCCTTAATTGGCACTTCTTTACTGGATATGATCAATCTTTCTTTATAGTCAGGATATGTACCACAGTCCTTTAAAGTAGCTGTAATTAAACCCCTTCCTAAAAAGCCCACTCTTGACCCAGGGGTTTTAGCCAACTATAGACGATTTCTAACCTCCCCTTCCTCTCAAAGATTTTGGAGAAAATAGTCGCCAAACAGTTGTGTGACTTTCTACATGGCAACAGCTTTTTTGAGGATTTTCAGTCAGGATTTAGAGTTCATCACAGCACAGAGACAGCTCTGGTTAAAGTTAATAACAACCTTTAATTGCTCCTGACAATGGACTTGTATTATTAGATCTTAGTGCCACATTTGACACCATTGACCATAATATTCTTTTACAAAGACTTGAGCATCTAATTGGCATTAAAGGAACCGCACTAAGCTGGTTTAAGTCCTATTTATCAGATTGTTCTCAGTTTGTACATGTTAACGATGAATCCTCCATAAATACTAAAGTTAGTCATGGAGTTCCACAAGGTTCTGCACTCTGACCAATTGTATTCACTTTATATATGCTTCCCTTAGGCAACATTATTAGGAACCACCCCATTAACTTTCACTGTTATGCAGATGATACCCAGTTATATCTATCAATCAAGCCCGATGAAATTAATCAGTTATCTAAATTACAAGCATGTCTTAAGGACATAAAAACCTGGATGTCCTGCAATTTTCTGACGTTAAACTGAAGTTCTTGTACTTCAAACACCTCTGAGACTCACTGTCTAAAGATATAGTTACTTTAGATGGTATTACCTTGGCCTCCAGCACCACCGTCAGCTTCCAGTTGTGGTTCGGGAGGCAGACACCCTCTCCACATTTAAGAGTAGGCTTAAGACGTTCTTCATTGATAAAGCTTATAGTTAGGGCTGGCTCAGGTGAGTCCTGATCCATCCCTTAGTAATGCTGCTATAGGCCTAGACTGCTGGGGTATTTCCCATGATGCACTGACCTCTCATCCTCTCCCTCTCTTTCTAACTTAATTCTTCCCGGAGTTCTTATGCTTTCAGTCTCGCAGGTTCTCATGGATCCTGGTGGTGCCTCCTGCCATGGTTCTGCTTGACTCCTACTGCTAATATTAACATAATTTAAATGTTTTTCTAACAAAAATGTGTTACACATTGGACCTTTAAGAGAATTCTACCTCATTCTGATTTCATGCAATTTGCCCCACTATCTTCATTTGCAGACTTTCTTGCTCAAAAACTGCAAAAAGATTTGGACTGGGTTTTTGGTTCTCAAATTCACATTGCAGGGAGGTTTCAGTCCATTCTGTCTGGAATGAGTAGTGCATCATTTTGGGAAGTACAGTACGTTTATTCATCGTCTCTTAGGATAAGATGAGAATGATGTCACTCTCATGTTTGTGTGTTGAGAACACAGATAGATGATCTGGTTAGCCTTGGATTGAACAGACAAGGTGTTCATCAGTGAGTGTTAGAGGTGTTGGTAGGTGTACCAAGGTACGTGTATCTTTCACTTTGGACAGAGCCAGGCTAGCTCTTTTCCTGCTGTTACCCCGACAGGCTTTGTCGGGTCTGAGTGTGTGTGAATGGGTGAGCGTAGTATTCTTGTGATGAGCTGGTTGGCACCTTGCATGGCAACCTCTGCCATCAGTGTATGAATGTGTGTGCGAATGGATGAATGTGACAAGATTTGTAAAGCACTTTGAGTAGATCAGAAAAGCGCTGTCTATTTACCATCTACCTAGAGCTGGGCGATAAATCGATTAATTCTACTTTACGTTTTAAAACAGCTGAATCATAAAGTTGAGATTTTAACTACGAATATCATAATGCAAAGCTATACAGCTGCTCTGTGAAACAAGCCCAAATCCACTGAAGTACCTCATCTACACAAAACACGTAGAATCATTTTCCCATAGTATCCCATATGAGGAGATGGGCCCCAGTAATAAGACATTACAGATGTAGTGGTTTTTTATCATCAGCAAATTTATGGTGTCTTTGGTAGTTTGTCTTTTAAGAAAAAATCCTGAATCGGATTTTGTGTGAAAAGATCAAATATTTTATTTTCAGGCCATATCGCCGAGCCCGACATCTACTTTGCTCAGGGTCAGGCAAAGCCAAATAAACACAATTCTCACACCTGCAAGAGAAAAGACAAGTATGAAATTGCTGATTATCATATCAGTGCTTCTTTCATTAAGGGCTGGATTGATGGAGGATTTAATCAATAGGCTAAAGAGCAGAAATGCATTTTCTTTTGACACTCTTTTACCATTTTATTACAACCTTGAAAGCCAAACTGCTGTTGATACACACTCCGCTCCAGTTGCATGCTTTTCCAACATCCTTATGACCTCTAGAACTACTGTTTGGATAACACAGTCCCATTAACTTACAGTGTTCTGTGATATTGTGTCTCCTCCAGTGATGGATTCAAAGAGGTGATGCCATACGATCACTTCCAACCTCTGCCTCGGTGAGTAACCCTTACAGTCATTCATTTTAAAAATGTCTTTGTTCTATCATTTGACATATTTCCAGTTTGGACAGTGTTCTGTGTAATGGAAGTGTTTTGGCAGAAAGTGTTTAGAAGTTTGATACAATTACTGGTTGGAATACATCCATTGTTGCACCAGGAAGTAATCAGAAGTAACAGGAAAAAGGATGTAAATAACACACTAAAACTTTCTTCTCTGAAGAGGTGTTGTAAATTCTCCACACAAGATTCTTGCAGGAATTTATCTACATGGAAAAGTGACATGGCAGCCTTCCAAAGCCATTATTTTCATGTTCTTAAAATGAAAATATAGGCTAATTTCAAGTCTTTTTAAACATATTTTTATAGATTTTTTTCACATTGATTTAAACATGGACATTTTAACTAATAATATGTTATCCCCCAATCTGGCAAAAAAAAACAATACTAATAAAATAGAAAGAAATAAGTCAAATAAGATTACAGCAGTGCATTAGTTAGAGAAATTGTACAATTAATCACAATCCAAGGTTGTGAGTTTCCAGAAAGTCCATGTAAGGGCTCCATAGGTGAACAAAGTTCTTTTCCCTCTTTTTTACAATATATGTTAAGTCTCTCCAAAGCTAGAGAGGTCATCAGTTCCTTTGTCCACATTCCGGTAGAAGGTGCGTCCATACTTGCGATTATCCTCCTGGCTTGTAAGAGTCCAAAGTCAATAAGCAGTGACTGTTGCTGAGACACAACAAAGTTCTCAGGGTATATTCCCTGTAAACATATTTTGGCTTGCAAACGAACTTCCTTTCCAATTATGAGACCTATACAGTGTAATACACTTTTCCAAAATTGGTGTATCTTTGGACAATTCCATAAGCAATGAATTAATGTACTAAAACCTTGCAGGTTGAATCACATATACCCTAATGTACCGGATATTTGTGTCTCTGCATTTCACACAAATACCCGGTACATTAGGGTATATGTGATTCAACCTGCAAGGTTTTAGTATTAACAGACAGGGTCTGAGCCTTAAAACAAGCTCTTTCCTCTTTTGAATGTGTTAACATTAACTCATAGAACAATGAAAAATGTCCTCTGCCATTCATGTGGGATAGAGAGACAAGAATTGTTTATGCGTGGATAAAATAAAATGTTTCAGCTGCAAGTATTTAAAGAAGTGCTGCCTTCTGCATATAAATCTGAAATTTTTGCAACACCTTTGTTAAACCACATCTTAAATCCTCCACCTGCTCTCCCCGGTATAAAACAATTATTGTCCCATATAGGGGTAAACTGTGATAATACTGGTGTGTCTCCAACATGTTGGTGTGCAGAGTACCACAATGAAATGGTATTTTGAAGAAAGGGATTTTTTGTTTGCTTAACCAGCTTTCTGACGCTTGCCGAATATAAATAAAGCTTGAGAGGAAGACCTAGTGTTGATGTCAAGGGAAGCCACTGAAAAATAATACATTGCTGTCCTTAACTGGGCGGCCCAGTAATACAGTTTTAGTTTGGGGAGCTGAAGCCCCCCTTTCATATGGTAGATATAATAGCCTTAGTTGTAATCTGGCCTTTTTAACATTCCAAATGAATTGATTCAGCATGTTATTAATGTTATGAAAAAAGGTATCGTGTAAAGGAAGCGGAAGTGACTGAAATAGATACAGAAACTTTGGTAAGACCATCATTTTAATTATGTTTATGCGAACAATCATAGATATAGGCATTTTGGTCCATCGGTTTAGCATCTCCCTCACTCTGTCCACCAGGGGGTTATAATTTAAAGAAACTGTTTGTTTCACATCAGGACTAATTTTGACCCCTAAATATGTAAAACCTTCTTTAGTGGTTGTGAATGGTGTATCTACAATAGGCTGCAGTCTTTCATTTCCATTCAAAAACATTAATGCAGATTTGGAATTGTTTATTTCATACCCTGATATGTTTCCAAATGTGTCAATTAAATTCACTAATTGGGGAATACTATCTTTTAAGTTTGTTAAAAAAAGAATTATGTCATGGGCTCAATAGCCAACACAAATAGCAAAGGCAATAACGGACACCCTTGTCTGGTTGATCGGTGGAGAGTAAATGGTTTAGAGACATTATTATTGGTCAATATTTCGGCAGTTGGGTTTGTATACAAGAGTTTTATCCATCTCATTTGCGCCAATTCCAAACCGCAGGAGCACGTTAAAAAGGAAGCCCCACTCGATCCTATCAAAGGCTTGGCCTGGGTCTAAGGATAACACAGCTGTATCTCTAGAGTTGTGTTTTTCATACAATACGTTTAGAGCACAAGCAGATATTTTGAAATCCGTGTCTATTTTTGACAAAGCCATTTTGATCACTACCAACAAGATGTGGAAGATACAACTCCAGTCTTCTGGCCAAGGCCTTGCAGAGTATTTTAATGTCACACCCCATCAAACTAATAGGCCTGAAAGAGGAGCATTCATTTGGGGCTTTGTTTGGTTTCAGAATTAAGGTTATTATTGCAAGTCTCAAAGATGGAGGGAGTATTCCTTTTGTATAGGATTCCTTATACATGTCCAAAAGTGGGACCAGAACTTTCTTTTCCCAAATCTCTTGTAAAATTAAATTGGAAAGCCATCCGGCCCTGGTGCTTTCCCACTCTGCATACCCTGAATGGCCTCTTCTAATTCCTTCATTGTTAGACTGTGATCCAAACCCTGAGACTGTGATCCAAACTTGCTTTAATTTTGCTATTTCTCTCAGCCCCCTAACATTCCAACTGGTGATTTTTATTTGAGACATATTGGTGTTTTAATCTTGTGAATAAGATGTAGCTCTGTCTAGCCATACCGACTAAATAAGTAAGCAAAGACACTGCTGGTAGAAGCCTTGATTACGTAACAAAAACGAAAAAAACAACAAAAAAAACATACACCATGTTTTGAACGGTCAATCTTCGAGCTCTGGTAAAAATGTCACAATCCTTTGACGTGTGAAATGTCGACATAATGGACGTTCAGTTGAAAATTTGAAATCCAAGCCACTATCCGGGGAATAAAAAGATTTTTGTGCACGGTTGACCGGAGCCCCTCTTCTAAGCTGCCATCCTTGTCGGGACACGTGACCACCCCCCTTAATAGTCTTAAATTATTATGAAGATTTTATTTCAACTTTCTGAGCAATAAACTATGTACCACTGTACTGAAATTATTTATGTCGGGAAGTGAGCTGAACCGTATGTTTCATTGTTTAGCAAGACAGTTCTCATCATAACTATAGAAAGCAAAAAGATTGTAAAAAGGGGTGCCCATTTTTTAAATCTCTGAATGCAATGACAATTTCCCAAAAGCCACCAATGCACATGTCAAAACTAAAATGATTAGGGATCTAACGATGCATCGTGACACGATAAAAAATCGGTACAAATGCGTGACGATTCGCACAGAAAAAATGAATCGCGGATGCGAGAGAAGTAGGATACGTTCTTTTTTTTCTTTTTTTTTTGAAATAGGTTACGTAATCTTAAAAAAAAGTCACTGGTTGGTGATTAATTTGTTCAACGTCAGACGTCAAATCACGTGACGTACGTCACTACGTAGATACGGGGCACAGAACGAGGGAAGACATGGCGACGGTAGGCAGCAACTTTGAAATAGAGGATCCACCGAGCAGTTTTAAATCACCTGTGTGGCGGAATTTTGGATTCCCCATATACACAAATACAACCGGTGAGAAATGGACAGACAAAACCAAAACAGCATGTAAATATTGCAAGAGACTGCTAACATATACTGGCAACACGAGCAACATGCAGCAGCATATTAGCCGCTACCAAAGTGAGAACGTTACGCCACCTCCTGAGCGAAAATTGCCAAGGGGGCAAACCACCCTGATGAGAGGCTTTGCATTTCCTCTCCCCCATAACAACACAAGAGCGCAAGAAATTACCAGGGACATTGGTTATTTTATTGGAAAAGATCTGAGGCAATTTTCCGTCGTTTCTAAAGAAAGGAGATATTTTTCATGTATTTTGTTTTTTATGATGACCATGTAAGTTGCACTTTTTATAAGAGGACACAAACTGTTTTACAGAGTTTCTGTAAAGAAAGCACCTCTAAGATTTTTTTCCTATGAATAAAAGATTATTTTATTCAGTCATAATTTGTCTGTAGCTCATTTTGATAAAAAAATAAAAAAATCGTGAGAAAATCGTATCGTGAACCGTATCAAATCGTGAGTTGAGTGTGTCGTTACATCCCTAAAAATGATGTATGGCAAAGATAACCATATAGGGAATATTCCAGTGACATTCTGCTAAAGCTAGTAACTAAAAATGGTAATGATAAAGTCAGTGGATCACATGACTACTTGTATGTGAAAGGTTTTGCTCATACTGATAAACCCACAGAGAATTATCTCAAACTCTCCACTTTCCCTCAGCTCTACACACCATTGTTTTGATTTTTACGGTTCAGTCTCAAGCATCTCATCAGCCTTCCTTCCAGCAGCAGGCAGCTGTGAAAAAGCTCTCTGTAAACTCAGGGGCAGCTGTCACCCCAGTTTGGTGTAAAATGCTGTCAAATTTAACACATCAATTTAGATTTATTTTAAAAATAGCGTGTCAAAAAAAGGCAAATTAATTCAATGTTTTGTTATGGCCACATTTTAGACTTAAGTTCAATGAAAAAAGACCTGTATTTGGAATAATGTCTGAAGATTTGGAAATAAAACAATGTATTGATTTCTAATGTCACCTTTAGATATTTCTATTCAGTGCTTTACTGACTTGCCACAGTAATGATGATGTATGTGTTTGTGATTAAATCAGCATATATTTCTGCCATCCCTTAAAGTCTCCATGCCACCCTCTGGACACTCAAATGTCCCAAATGCTTCGGTCCAAAAACAGAGCTAAAAGCAGATTGAATGTTGGACAGTACACAAACATCACACAACAAATTAATTAATTCAGGTCTATTTCACTATAGTTTCTTTGCTTCCTCTAATGGTTGCAGGATGAAGATAAAATGGTGGCAACTGTTGTGAAATACAGATGCTTCTTGCAGTCAGCAACTGCAAGATGCCACTAAATCCTACACCCTGGTATGATGCTGAGAGAGAGTTTTTTGAGGTGTGTGAATGAATACTAGAGCCCGACTGATATATATGTATTGTTGGTCTATCACAGACATATTGGTACCAGTATCATACCCCAAGTGCCACCCCTTTATCCTTCCCTCTTCCACTCGAAGTGGAGTCTTTCAGAGGCTGTAGGGTGCTCTGGGTCCTTTTTAAAGATAGAGTGAAACTAAACTGACCTAACACATCCATTGGTACCAACCATGTCATGCTAACAGGTCAGTAAGGGGACTAAATAACACTCCAAAGTTAGGCAAAATGTGGTGATAGAAAAACTGGCCTGGCCATTTTGAAAGAGATACCTTGACTTAATCCTGTGTAAGGTATAAGTATATGTGTGTGTTATTTTGGCCTAGTGTAATTGAATATTTCTGCATACTGGGGTCCATAAACAGTGTTGGAATTGTGAAAATTGGTAATGACTGGAAAGCTGAGACACATACTTCATGCCACCCCTGCATAAGTCAGTGCCCCACTTGTGCCACCCCACTCAAAAAAGTCTGGATACTCCCCTGTCTCATTTACTTAAATGTCGAATGGCTTTATATGAACTTACTTCTTTTAGATTGCACTTCCATCTGTTTATATGGCCAAACAAGAGTAAAGAATGGAGACACCATCTGTTACTATTCCTGGAGAAACTGCTGCATTTTTTACATTTGCTGAGAGGGCGCAGAATTGTTTTTTGTTTAGATTACACTAATGAAAGATGCCTCATGAATGTAGCTGAAGAAATAGTTTCAAACAAGGGAAAAGAGATAGAGGAGAGAAGAAAACTGTTTCTGCAGAAAACTCAACACTGAAAGTCTGGTGGTCTGTTTCTTTGCCATCCCTTCTGTGGGTAAACTTCACAGTTTTATTGGTGTATTGCAAATGATGCTTTCAGCTGTTTGCTTTGTCATTTAGTTAGGTGTAACAGGAGAAACCAAGATAGATTATAGTCTGTTGAGGCTAATGTCCCACAATGGGATTGTTGTTAATCACCACTGTTATCTGATTACATTATGACATAATGAAGTCCTACTGTGAAGAACAGCCTTAATTGTTCTAATACTGCCTCATGATTTCCTTATCATCCTTTATGTGTGAGGGAGTATCATAAGGACCTGGGTGTAATCATCAACGGCTTGGCCTAAAGCTTAAGCGTAAAGACATTAGCTGTGGAAACGTGTCGGAGAAGCTCATCATATATCAAGTAATCTGAAGCAGATCTTCATAGAAAGTTGATGCTGATGGGACATATATGGAAAATACTGTATATTGAAATCAGAAGGTCGATCTGGTTGCATGTCGATGTATCCTTAAGCAAGATACTGAGCCCCAAATTACTCCCGATGCTGTGCATCAGTGTGTGAATGTGTGTGAATGAGTTTCTGTTTGTGATGGCCTTTGTCATTCACTGTAAGAATGTGTGTGAATGGGTGAATGTTGCATGTAGTGTAAAGTGGTTTAAAGACTAGAAAGGAACTATATAAGTACAGTCTGTTAACCATTTACCATGTTAATGGATTTAATTAATGAATTAATGAATTAATGGAAACTGTGCACACCTGTCCATTTTTTCTCATGCTTCATGTCTGTCCCTGTCCACAGTTTGAAAACCTCTGATCTAAGATAACATCAACCTCTCATCATGTCTCAACATTCAAATCTGTTAACTGATAATGAAATTATCATTAAGTATCCAGAGATATAATCATATTTAGTGTTTTGCGTTGTGAAAAACCATCATGACATTCTTAGTCAGGACACATGCTGTTAATGTTATCAGATGTGAGATGCATCATTAAATGACCTGAGGCAAGCATTAAGGGAGCTCTGCCCCTATCCTGTGTGTGCAGTTGGGAGCCGGGCCCCTGGACCCAGTGCTCAGTGTCCTGTGGTGAAGGTGGCGGCTGGCAGGACCGCAGCGTGCTGTGTGTGGAGGAGGACACCCATGGACAGTTCTCCCAGGTGGAGGAGTGGAAGTGCACCCACTCCCCTCGACCTATCACCCGACAGATTTGCAACACCTTCGCTTGCCCCCAGTGGGTGGCCATGGAGTGGTCTCAGGTCAGTAAGTGTCTGTTTGCATCAGCCATCGACACCAGTAATAAACTCATCTAAAGTCAGTCTACAGCATCAGAGGGCTTTATGTGCAGGTGTAAAATACACCCATTGTTTCATCTGTTTTACTTTTATCTTTCTTTTGTTCATCTATCACTATGCTCTTGAAAGGTGCAATATAAATAAAGTTATTCACTATTTACTCCTCTTTTAAGTCAGTTGTCAATCAGAAATGCCAGAACTTCTCTGCCATTGGACTCTTGAATTTGAGGATTTGCTACATTTCTCTGTTTTCTTTGTAAGTGGAATATCTTTGTGCTTTGGACAAGAAATATGAACACTTAACCTTGGCCTCTGGAAAACAGTTTTGTACACTGAACAATTAATCACTTAATTGAAAAGATAACTGAGTCATTAATTCAGTGTTTCCCTACCTGGGGGTCGGGAGCCCCAAAGGGTGGGAAAAGATCAATCTGAGGGGTTGTGAGATGATTAGTATGAGAGGAATTAAGCAGAATTATTTCTGCTACACAAAGTTTATTTTTACAGCCTTTCTTCCAATTTAAAATGTAAAATTACTGACTAATTTAACTTCTTCACTACTCTAAAACATATCCACTTGAAGTAATAGACTCCTGAAATAGACTGGTAGGCACTTCTGATTTTTCTTTGTATGTGTACCTTTATTTCTCCTTCTTAGTACGCACCCACATAATGCTCGATCGAATCTGTAATAAAAGTAACCTATTGTCACATCACAAGTTAGCTAATGTGTCAAAATGCCAGCTGACTAGATAGCAAATCAACCTACATAAATGACTAGCTAGATAATTAGCTTCCATTTGGCAAACATTAGATGTAACATAAGATGTACCTAGCTAACCAATGATTAGTGTAGATGAGCTATAAGAAGAAAGTTGACAGGTTCTGACGGAAGCTTGCTCAACTGTTATTGGAACACATAGCTAAAAGGGGCGGGACTCAGAAAGGGTCCATTCATGCAGTGACTCAGTGGTTGAAAAGGGTCACAACCAACGGACACAAGCACCATTATAAAATGGTGGGATCACAAGTAGACATAAAGCTTCACAAACAAGGTTGCAGTGGCAGCCCAAACTTGAATTGATTGATGCCACCTGTAAAGTGAGTACTATATGTGAGGTAATGTGTGTGTTGCCATCCTACCGCAGTGCACAGTGACGTGTGGCCGTGGCCTGCGGTACCGGGTGGTTCTGTGCATCGACCATCGTGGACAGCACATCGGAGGCTGTGAAGCATCACTCAAACCTCACGTGAAAGAAGACTGTCTGGTCCCTATTGCCTGCCACAAGCCCCGAGGTAGGATGCAACAGAGCTGTGTAGGTCGTAAGGAAGACCATAGTGGACAAGTGTTTAAAGCTCACAAATGTAAAAAGCAATCTTTACATTTTTTATTGTATAAACATTCTCCTAATGGATAAAGGAGGGAACTCTATTAGCACCAGAAAGCTAACACATGCATACAAATACACACTCAAGCTATTAAAGGTGGGGAATGCAAAACCCGGTACCATAATATAGTGCAAACAATGACACAGCAAAATGGTAGCTATGTTGTGGGCATGGAAACTGTTGCTAAAACTGTTGTTGTGCAGCTAACATGCAGAGAGGATGAGGAGGTTTCCCAGAGCCAGCACACCAGCTCCAGACAGCAATACTCTCCTGCTACTATAGCTAACATCACAACAACAGCATATCTTGGCAAACTAAGCTGAACGTCCATGGGCAAGTCATTTAATGTTACGTGACACATTAATCCTGGCTGGAATAACAAGTTGTGGGGATCACTCCGATCTACATTGTTTCTCACTTGCAGAGCCAAGGCTGTGTATAAACACCAAAGGCACACAGAGCACACTAGTGGAGCATAAGGGGGGATACTGAATCTGAAAAAAAGAAAGAAAGAATGGCATTACCTAGAACCTTTACTGAAATGACCCTACCATTTCATTATACTCATACACGTTCATCAGTCCCATTTTTGTATATGGTATTTAGCGTTTCCTTCTTTTCACTTCTCAAAAAAGAAAACCAAAACACTTTCATTCCATTTGATATCTCATACTGTATTATCTGCGCTCCAAAAAATACATGGCAGCATTGCATAAGCATGTACTGTACATTGGGGTACAATCTCTATCTCTGCACGTAAAAGCAACATACTGATCCTAAGGTTGGTTTGGAGCCTATTAACATACAGTACATGTTGATAGCATACATTATGTAAAATGTGTTCTTTTTTTCTAGGGATGCACAATATGGATTTTTTTATCAGCCGATACATATAACTGATTACCTGATTCTTATGGCCGATACTGATAAAATTACCGATAATTACACATTTTTGTATTTTAAAAATAAGTCAGTTCATGCCCACCTGAGGTAAGAAAGGCTGAGATACAGTGAGCAAAGATGGATGATTTAATATTCCATTGCTCTCTTCTAATCAAATCAAACTTACATTACTGTTGTAAACACAACAAACAACAGTTCTTCAAATGCTTTTTCTAGTAAATCAAAAAACTTCACAAAGATTCTTTGACTTTCATAGAACGTAAAGCCTATCAAACATTTTGCAAAGTAATTCAAAATCATTTCAATGTATTATTGACCGATAATTTATCAGCTATAATTTCATTATCAGCATAATCCATATAAACATAAATGTCTCATTATTGACCAATAATCTATTGGCCCAAATATATATCATGTATCCCTGTTTTTCCATGTGTTCTGTCCACGTGTGTACTCTTACAGTGTGTGATTTATGGTCGGCTCAGGACTCTTTGTCCGTCACGCTCTGCTGTCCTTAATGCCCACAGTCACCACCTTCACCAGAAAAACAACAGGCTTCATTTGCATCAGCTTCCATCATGTGGCCTCCATTTATGATCTGTCTGTTAACATAAACTAGCATCCCTCTCTTCAAACTGCTGGAGCTTTTACAGGCTGATAATTCTCTCAGGTTTGCATGCGCATGTACTGTATGTCTCTAAAAGCTTTTTCCACAATATCAAAATCATTTTGAAGCTGTTATCTGAAGGTAGAACAGTTATATAATGGGTAAAAATTCTGTGTCTTGGTTCATAAACATGCATTTGAGCATATGCACAGTCCTGTCTCGTCATCACTATTAACCCATAAGGACCCACAGTGACATGGGTCTGGGTTCTTATGGGTTAACTAATAGCAAATGGGACCAATATGTCACGTTTTAGAAGGATTAAATAGTCATTCCAACAAAGTGAAAGGGAAAATAGTGACCACTTCCACATCTGTAGAGCAAATAAACTTGGAGGGTATTATTCCTTTTATACTAGGGCCAGTCCCAGTTAATGGGAGCTAGGGTCCAAAGAAAACGTTAATATTGTTTCAAAAAGTCTAAATCATTATAATGCAGTCCCTTACTGTGGTTGATTTTGTAGAGGCAGAGTTTTCAGTTACTGCCAGTGTTGACAGAGAAAATGCCATTTCCATGCATCGTTCATACCCAGGCAGCTCGGCCTCAAAGTCAAGGACCATGCATTCCTGACTATAATAACTATATATGCTGACATCAGTTGACTGACTCTGGGTCCATCTTTCTTTGGAGTTATCAGTTTCTTTAGATACCTTTAGTAAAAATGGGTTTTATTAGCAGGATTACAATTTTAAAATACATTTTAAAATAAAGAACGATATACTACCATGCACATGTACAGCGGCACATATTACATCAGTTGACCAGTTTTACCACTGAGCATTGGTCTGAGTGCAACTATAGCTAATCTTGACCACTCATTATCATGGCCTCTAGTAAAAAAATGTTTCTACAGGGTGGAAGTTTTACCATTATTTGTCTTTACAGCAGAAAAGGGAACATCATCACTGTACAGTGCAAGTCCTGCCTTCCAGCCGTGAAAACGCTCTATAATATACTGCTTGAATTGCTGAAATGCTTAATGGAAATACAATGTTTCTTTAAAAACAGCGTGTGTAGAGGAAACATGTTTGATGCTAAAATCTTTTTTCCTTATCTTTTAAGTTACACTCACTATGTTTGCATGCATTTCTGAAAAAGAGAACATTCCTACTGATCTGTTTACATGGCAATTGAATATTCCACTAATATCCCCTGTTTACATGCAGCTCTGCATAATCCGACAAAATCTATTTTCTCAGTGGTGGGATAAGTTGTAGCTGCCACTGAGAAGGTTCCCTAGCCTGGTTCCTCCTCTCTATTTCCATGCAAAGAAGTTGATGGGTTTCTTATTGATCTTACACTGTAAAACCTGAAGAGTTAATTCAATGTTTGGAGGATTAATTAATGTTAACTTTTATTAAGATGTGTTTTCAGATTTCACAATGGAAACGCAGGGTTATGCATAGGGTTAGAGTGGTATTTATGGTGTTGACTTTGGCTATAAATGTGATATGGTCCATTCAGTATTGAGCCAGGCAGAATTGGGATTATTTGTCCAGTGTCAGATATACCGAAGCTGGTGAGAGAGGAAGTAGTGGTAAAGGTTTGATGCACAGAGGAATAATGTTATACACAAAACCACTCATAAGAGGTTTTAGTCCAATTAATATCTTGCTCATTGTTGTTATTTCACATCACATGTCCTGTATTATATGCAGTATGTCCATACCTACTCATTTTTGCACTCACCTCTTGCTGAGAACTCTGCCAGGATAGGTCTAAATCCTGCTGGGGACCGGATGACTTTCCCAGGTTGCTAAAGTTGATCGAATGATGTACTTTTTTCATATCTAAAAGTAGGAACAATATGCATCACTTTTGGTTCAGTTAGGACCAATTTCCTACTCTGAGGTTTTTGATGAATTAGGGCCCTGATCACTGGTGTCAGACTGAGATGACTGGGAGTGTGACTCATTTTCTCTGTCTCTGTCAGAATCCCTGCCAGTGGAGGCCAAGGTGCCCTGGTTAAAACAAGCCCACGAACTGGAGGAACACAAAACTGCTACAGAGGACCCCACGTGAGTGCAGACACACACACACACACACACACACACACTCTAAGTGCATTAAAGGTGTCTAAAAGCGCTGATGTGAGTCTCAACTATAAAGAGATACAGTCTCTACAGTCACAGTCACTATCCACTCACTCCTCATTCACTGCCGCTGTGTGTTGTTAGCAGCAGCTCTAATATCAGAGTTATTAGACTCTGTATCCACTACCATCTGGAAACACTGCTCTCTAATAATAGCAGGAAAATAGAACCATGGACAAAACCAAGCAATATTTTGCCTTGATACACACTTTGATAGGATAAAACTGAGCACACTCACAGTGCTGCACTGTTTCAAAAGAGGGAGTGTGAATACACTACATTCTGAGAGTTATAATCTTTTAATGTATTGGATTTGCTCATTGCTTTGGTGATTTGTGCATTTGCAGGAAAACAGCAAAGGCTCACAGCTGCAAAAATAAATACATCCAGTATTTAAATAAATAAAATAAAGGTAGTGGTGAGACGGATACAGAAAGTTCTCAGCAAGGAAAATATATATACAATTTTTAGAAAACATCATTCTGCTTTTTCTTTGTAAAGTTTAACACACAGTGGCATTCTAAAGTTTTAGTTTGCAAAAACGGTGTACTGTAACAATTATGATTTACATTGTCTGCTATTAGTGTTTTGTTTTAATTTCTATTGGGTACATGCCAGTCCCCTTATTTGATCGTTCCCTTCTCGCTTAATAATAACTTTATTTATATAGCACCTTTTAAAAACAGAGTTTAGTGCTTTGCAGACAAAGTAAAGTGATATATGTGATATACTAAATGTAATTCAATATAAAAATAATGAATATCGAAATACAATAAGAGCAGAATACAAGCCATAACAATAAAAAATATAAAATAAAATAAGATAAATGATAGAATAAAGTACAAAAACGACATCACATGAAGGAAAGTCTATAAAAAAGGGTTTTAAGAAGCGATTTAAAAGAAGTGATTCTGCAGACCTTATCTCCTCGGGCAGGCTGTTCCAAAGCCGAGTGGTCCTGATGCCAAAAGCACAGTCACCTTTAGATTTAAGCTTCGACTGCAGAACAGCCAGAAGGGCCCCACCTGAGGACCTAAGGCTGCTAACTGGATAATAATGGGTCAACTTTCCTGGGGCCAGACCCAGAAGTGCTTTAAAAGTGATCAGTAAAATCTTAAAAGTAATTGTAAACCAAGGCAGATAAGCCAGGTTTGGGGTGCTGATCCAGTTCTCTTATTTCTACCAGGAGTGAGGAGGGATCTCTGAGGAGAACTGATACTCTTTTACCGGTCTTACACATCTCAATATTGGAAATCTGCTAATCAGACTGATCTGATCACAACATTGCTGCAGTTTTATACAGGAGTTAACAGACAACAACACAACTAACTCAAGGATTAGACTAGGTTTTAGATTTTATAAATGCAAACACAAATGACGATTCAGAGGACGTATCATTTCTCTAAACATGTTTCCTCTATTCCTTTCCTCGCATCCTTCCCTTGTAGGGACTAAGATGCAGGAAAAAGACACATGTAAAAGAAACATGGATGCAATTAAGGGAACTGGTATGTAGCCACAGTCTCCATATAGAGGTGCAGGTTGATGACTGTACTTCCTTGTTTGGAGAAATGCATAATCTATATATATTTACTGTAAAGCATTCCAAGTGTTCCTAAATGCAGGACTGCATAAGGCACATACAGGTACGTCACACTGTAAGCATGTTAGTTAAAGGTCCACTGTGTAACATTTAGGAGGATCTATTGTCAGAAATGGAATATAATATTTATAGATGTTTTCATTAGTGTGAGTAGTCAGTAGTTTTTATCTGCAGAGGGAGTGGGTCGCCTTCCATGGAGTCCACCATGTTGAACCGCCATGTTTCTGCAGTAGCTCAGAATGGACAAACCAAACATACACATTTTTGCGAGTTTCATGGCCACCGTAGTTTCTCCTACACGCTCACACTCATTCCCAGGTCTTCAAATATAAAATGCAAGAGCCAGAGTGTTATATTGATACTGACTGATCTGAGACTGACCTATCGCCAATATAGCGGTATCGTATCGGTATTGGCGTATATACCCCAATAACAAAACAGTTTTTCCAGTATATAATGCAGAAGAATTGCTTGTGGTGAATTGGTGTCACTGCAAACTTTCAGTGTGCTGAGATTTACAATACTGTGGCAAACAGCAGAGTAAGACAGAAGAAGCAGCTCTGAGCAATGCAAACTAGAATAGACTGACAATATATATGTTCAATTGTTTAACTTGCTAAATTGTATTTAACTTAAATATTCTTTAAAGGAGTTATCTGTTCAATAAAGCAGCCTTGTGAGGACTTTTGCAGTCATATCAGTGTACAATCCACATAGACAAGGTCTATTTTTATTCAAGTTCAAACATTGACTATATCGGCTGCCATATTGGTAATCTGTGAATTTTCCCTCTTAAATTGGTATCAGTCTCAAAAATACCATATAAGTCAGGCACTCGAAGTAATCACAAATCCACAGTAATGACCCTGTACTGTTACAGGACCATTTCTTTATCAGATCAGTGCAAACTATTCAGGGTTCATTATTGCTAAAACGCTAACAAAGCTGTGGCTATACTTTTGCTTTCTACAATTCTCCAATATTATTACTAGATGCCAACACACTGTATAAAAGAAATGGGAGCAGGTATTATAGGCATCCTTGAATAGTGATAAACAAGGTTGTGGCGTTACTGTGAAAGTGTCATGTGCCCTTTTTCAGACATGGAATACATTACATTGCTGCCTTCACCTGTCTGTTTAAGTAATGGCTGTCTGTCAGTCACACAGAGGTGATATCTATGCTAATATTCACTCAGACCTGACAGGGCATTTACAGAGCAAGCTGCGATATTTGGTACCCTGTGCATGTGAGAGAGGTGAGTTAATAACGTTATGATTAGGAGGAATGCGTTTTCTATTCTTCCACAGGTTCTTTTTCTGCCCTCGAAGCCTTCATTAATGACCATTTTGAGAGTGAGAGACAACTCTGCAGCCTATTTTATATTTTATAATTAATTCCTAGTTGCTCCCTCGATGTATATAAAGCTGGACATTCATTTATTTATCCATTCAGGTAGCAAAATAAGGGGACAGATTGTTGATCAGATTATTAGTGTGGTTGTGTGAGGAGAGCTTTTAACCTCTTTTGCCCTGGTCACACATGTTTTCATATAATCAACTGTAAATAATTGTTGTTGTCTGTTGACCTTTTCTATAGAGGCCGACATGTTGAACCACCATGTTTTTTTTTTTTACAGTAGCCCAGAATAGACAATCCAAACACTGGCTCTAGATAGGGCCTTCCACATTTGTTACGAGTTTTGTGGCCACTGTAGTTTCTCCTATGCACTTGGTTGAGTTTTTCTTTTTAAGTGATATGAAAAGTTACCAGGGGCCATGGTGCTCATTCATACAGAAGAGAGACATGTGCATGTATGAAAGATGTTATATATTGTTAGTGCACTATATGTGCACTCTTTACTCATGCTTAATAAAAATAATTCTGGCTCATACACACTCACACACCCACACATCCAGTGCTGTGTAAATCTGTTCGGCTCTGTTTCCTCTCCTTCCGCTGCTGATGATAAGCATGTGATTATTGCCTGCTGCTCTTTGCCTGGTCAGCTCTGATAGCCTCCACGGGATCCATCAGCTCTTAGAGCTCACACACACCTCAAACACTTGGCAGACACACACATGCTTGTTGGACTCTTTGCAAACATGCTCTTCAAACACTTCCTACACACACCTCAAACACTTTATCTTCATCACATGAAGCCAAGCAAATCTTATGTATAGCTACATTCATATGATTAGCAAAGCATTAGTTGTTAACTATTTAATTAATCACCAACTATTTAGATAATTGATTAATTAATCACTAGTGCAGTGCCCGTAGGAAGTATGTATTGCTATAGAAAAGTGGGAGGTTAAGTAGCTTTTTTCATGGATGGCCAAATGAGGTTGTGTTTGAAGGTGGGACGTCAGGGACATTTAGGTTTGTTGTGAAATGTGTAGATTGATAACTATTGTGTTTTCATATAATTTGGCTTTTAGCAAGGACACTGTAGGGAGATGAACCCCATTCCACTAACGTGAAAGTACCACACCTCATGGTCAGCGCATATAAATACAAATACAAAGTGAACTACATCTGAAATGGGATGAAACCTGGCAGCATAAACAGACTAACTTGTAGCATAGCCTAGTAAATGAACTGGGCAGGACATATTATTTAGCCTTGTAATATAGGCTAGCATACATCAGAGAGAGAGAGAGAGAGAGAGAGAGAGAGAGAGAGAGCAATGGCAGTAAGGGTTTCCACATCAAAAAATTGTTTTGAAACTACCAAAATAGTGTGAACAGATAAGCCGACGGCGCGGAGCGAGGGTGTGTCGGTCAGACAGTCTGATAACTGCACAGGTCTCTCACTCAACTTAATAAAGAGAAATATCCCACAAAGCAATGTTAGAGGACCAAACAACAGTAACGTAGTAACTAACTGTCTTTGGCAACTTACATGAGGAAAAAAAATACCACAGCTGTACGTGGAGAAGCGTCTGTCCTCCTGTCTGTCCTCCTGTCTGTCCTCCCACCTGTCCTACCGACTCTTCCGTTACATTTCTACCCGAAAAACAGCGTCTGTCACCGGCGAGTGTTTGTGATCAGAAATCACCGCGACCGCCAGCCCTACGGACCGAGTCATCAGTTTACTTTCACTTTCCAGGATGTTTGGGCTCTGCAGTGATTGGCTCTGGTGCGCACGTGGCTACGGTGGCTGTCGTTGACAATGCTAGCGGAATTCGGAAATAATTTATGAAATAATAATTTATTAACGGTATCTTTATAGTCCAAACAAAGCCGACGTTGCACACCCTTAAACCACACAGCAGCCATGTTGAAACTCTCAGGTCAGTCTGATCCTGATCTGCAGAGAT